AAATTTAAAGCTCAAGCGTTAGTATTTAATTTATGTTTTTTGTTTGTATAAACCCATATTTCAGCAAAAGGCAGTAAAGCATAACATATTATGACAGTTGTTATTGAGATTTTTTTTGACTAAAATTGGTTTTTGTTAGCATTTGAGAACTTTGGAAATCTTAGGCTCCACGAAAATAAATTTAGTCAATAAATAATTTTGAATTAGAATTCTAAAACCAAAAATGAATCTATATCCCGTTTTAATAGCAACCATAGAGGTTTAAACAAATCAAATTACTTACTTTTATTTGCCCTACATCTGTAGGGCAAATTCTATGGAGGTTAAATAGTTATAATTGTCACAAAATAACACATTAAAGCTTGAATCTAATTATTTTTGTAAAAGTTACCATACAGTTGAAATAGTGCACCGATTTCTCTACGTCACAAAAAGTGACTAGAATGTTTCTTGCTCTTTTTTGTTTCGTCAATTTTCTTTTAAAACTTCGAGTGTGTTTTGTTTCTTTTACAATTTACGACTTGTATCCAAAATCTTCCCAGTAACAATGATATTTTCACCTTTCACATTTCATCTATTGGTGAAAATTGCAAGGAAACCAATTCATTAGTGTTTCAACAGAAAGAGACAGTGGGAATTTTGTTTCATATGTATTCTAACATCACGTAGAATCCGAAGCGGGGTAACTTCTAACGAATCAAAATGATACAAGTAGCGCGCTATCAGACGAACCGCGCGCAAGACCCCCGTGTATTCTGAGACAGAATTCTAATACATTGTGTTTTAAAGCTTACGGTTATTAAAACAAGCCTGATAATTTTATTATACATTCGATCATCAGCGGCATTGGTATATGTCTGATCTGCGCACTTTTTTTTATTTATTTATTTAGCAATACAAACAATCATATACAATGTTATTGTTTAAATGCCACTATAAAAACCACTAAGGTTTGTCCATAGTGCCACGTATTTTTGCGTCATTACATATCCAAATTAACAATAGTTTACATAAAAGTTTTTATTCCATTAATACTATACTGAGAATAGTTTATCGACATGCCTATTCTTTAAAGGTAATTCTTGATATCTATATATTATTTTTTAACATTACATGATTTAAAACGCACTCAAATAAATTTATAGTGATATACTAATTTACTATTTTTTTTTAGTAATGTTTTTACATTCTTTCACATTATGATTATTAATATTCAGCACTACATATCATTGTAGCATCGCGATTACAAATCAATCGAATATATTTTTTAATATAACCTTTTTATTTGGCATATACACAACTTGAAGTGAGTAAATTCGTGCAGTAGATAAGTTACGTGTCACAGCACATAACTATTATCAATGGCTTATATACACTCTTATGTATAGTTGCGAACATTTTACAATATCTCTATTAGTTGCAACGATAAAGAAAATTTTGAATTATTTTCAAACATCACCCATAACCCATCAGTCGGGAGAATTGCATATTCGAAAAGAAATATTTTATAAAGAAATATCGTATTTACGACGTGTCACGATGACTTCGCGACGTTAATTCAGGTTTAATCAGTGTATTATTAATTGATGCACCACATTTCTTTGCCCTGATTACGGTAGTCGTGTCATATCGCCATAAATCGTGCCATAATAATAATTCACATTTTATTTATTAACTATCGCGCTGATTATGACAGATAAGATACTACAATTTTTCCTGCTAACTGTGAATTGTAATATTCTGAAATTCTTAAAAAAAATTATGAAAAGTTTCTTCGCATTTTATAGACAAATTCAAACATTTACTTTTACTTGAACTAAAGCATATAGGTACCATTTTTTTCGATGACTTTTTACTATCTTGTAGGGACATAATACCATTGTAATAGAAATTTTGGGGCTTCTGATTAAAAATCACGACAAGTGATTTTAACAAACCTCGCGTGATGTTAACCTGACACTGTTTAAACAATTCTGAGGAGATCGAAACAGGTGGACATCTGAAGGTGCAAGATTAGGACTATAAGGCTGATGCATTAACACCTCCCAGCCAAACTCTTTTAAATTTTGCTGAGTGGCAAAATATGTGTGAGTCTAGCGTTAACACAATGAAAAACCACACCCCTTCTATTGATTAATTCTGGCTGCTTTCTCTCATCTTCTTCTTTAATCTCATCAGTTGTCCACAGTAGAGTTCGGAATCGATGGTCCTGGTGGTAACAGCTCATAACAAATAATGCCCTTCCAATCCTACCACACGCACAGCATCACCATGTTGCGAGTTAACCTGGGATTCGCCACAGTCTGTGAATCCTGACCGACCTTTGACCACGACCTTTTTCGCACGTTCTTGTCGTACGTGATTCACTTTTCATAATCAATTATCAGTTTCTTTAAAAATGGTTCGGTTTCATTACATCGTAATAAAGGATCACAAATAAGTACACGGTTTATTAGATTTCTTTCAGTGTGCTCGTGAGGTACCCAAAACTCCAACTTTTTTAAAATGCGCCAATACTGTTTTGTGGTCAATCCCCAGTTCTTAAGCTACACCATAACTATAGATATGCCAATCTTGCCCCTCTTTTTCAAAAATGGCATCTATTTTATCCATAACAGGGCGACCGGAGCGACGTGCATTTTTGAAGTCAAAATTTCCGGACTAAAAACCTTTAAACCAAATTTGTGCTACTCTCAGAAAAACTGCACTAGGTTGCATTTTTTTTTTAAATGTATAGAATTTCTTAATTTGAATGACAAATGAAAATCGAACATTTTCCTAATTTGAATTTGGAATTATCTTCTTTAAACCAAAATTATGTAGATAGATATATAAGAAACATATCTCAGATGTTCCTAGCTTTTTAGTTAACTGGTATGATAAGTATCATTGTGATATAATGAATTACCTAAATTCACGAAGACAATGACGTTTTAATAACAATAAAAGGAATCCGGATTGAGAGAATTATATACATACTAGACGGTATGTATAGTACTCTTTGTTTCACAGTAATGTCAGGTAGCAAATTTAATTTCGTGACTCGGCTACATGTTACGTTCTGTTTAAACTCAATATAACAAATGATTTTTGACTTTGAGAGTACTCTATTTTGACTTGCGCTTCAGTAGCATACAATAAGTTATTTTGCAATTTAATTTTGTGAACATTATCATTTATAATAAAAATAATAATAAATCTTTATTTCAGACCCATTGATCCATATTAAATTACAAATTACAGAAACATTATTCCAAATAAAATGACTTTAAATTACATAAATTCAGGTCATTTGTAACCAAAAGGTCTTAATTTTATTTCCACTTTTCGCATATATATGATCTTTGTGACATATGTAATTTAATGTAAGGTCATCATAAGACAACAGGTTTTCTTTGTTACTTAACTGAATAGAATAGAGTTCAGAATTGCTCAAGAGAAATACAGCCCGCAGTATATCGGATGTCTGTCTTTTGTGTTGAGCTGGTACTTCATCACGTATTACAAGGTACACCAACGTTTGCGACCTTACAAAACTACATGAATAATAAAATGTCAATCTTAACACTGATGTAGAATAACCGTTTTTGTAAAAATCAATGTGCGATATATAAGTGGCCTTGTGAATTGTTTTGATTAGATTGAATTATAGATTTCAAAATGTATGTACAATTTTATGACTGTAACAGTTAGTTGCATGTGTTTTACTATGTATATCTCTATACTAATATTATGAAGAGTAAAAGTTTCTAACTTGATTTGTTTGTTTGTCGTAATCTTTGGAAATACTGATACGATCATGAAAATTCCTTCACAAACGGAAAGCTACATCATACACCGGTGACTTAGGCTGTGATTTACGCTGGCGAAGTCGCAGGAAAACAGCTAGTCTATTATTTCAATTCACAGCTCAAACTACGGAATGGATCGAACTAAGATTTGACGTGTACATACAAAACGTTGTTATAGCGGAGAGTTTCGCTAAGAATTCAACCCCCAAAGATCCTAATTAGGGGTATGAAAAACTAGTTAATGAAGAAGCTCAAAAATTTGTACGTTTGTATAAACTCTGCTTAAGGACGGCTAAGGATTCCCTCAATTAAATCGCAGACGAAAACGCAATCATTTTACAAAACAATGTAAACGCAGAGTAAGTTTAAAGATCTATCTATCCAGTGATTGACTTCATTTGTTTTTCCTTTTAGCTACTAACATTTTATTTAATTTTTCTGTCTAGTGAATTTAAAAGATTAACAAACTACGAACGCATCGTCACAAAGTGTTACGAAGCGCATTGCGATTATTACAGCTATTTGGATGTCACAGAGGGTGCAGGAACACACTGCCTCCCCTACCACCCGACCCCAGCGTGAATTGAAAATGGGGTTGTGATTCATTTCCCACGAGCCCCAGTCATACGATACAAAAAGCCTCAAACTTTATTACACTAAGAGACTCACGAAATAATTTTGAAACGAGTGCGATTAATGTATCTGTGCATTTTTCATTTAATAAGCATCCAACTTTCAGAATGTTGTCTATATTGTGCATCCATTTGAATGAATTACCTATACGAATGACCGATCATCATCATGGATATAATAGCAGTTGATATATTTATAAAGTCATGTTAAAAGATGTTAATATAAGTAATGACCGAAACTTAAAACTCGTTTGAGCTATCCACTGAAGTATGAGCGTTATCATTGAAGTATTGTTTGTTATGGTTCCATGGTTTGGCTTGTGATTAAAGTGTGCACCTACATAAGTGGTTTGACTTCCTTGTTTGATGTAATTTCGCGATACAGCCTGTACAAACGCACCTAGTCGCGGCAGTAGGTATGTTGCCGGTAGCAATGAGGTGCGATAACGCGCCCAGCGTGCGATACGGCTGCCTTTCATAGCCGACACGAGTCGCCTGCGCACCGGCATTATAATTTGTACAACGCCAAGGTTTCAGACGCGATGAAATTGAAAACATAAAAAAATGTATTACTCACGAAGCCATATCCCCTGCTTTTACTAGTCTGCCTGTCTGTTATGACGACCGCTTCCTCTATGTCACCGAACACGGCGAAGTGTTCCCTCAGGCTCTTATCCGTCGTGTGATAGGGTAGTCCGCCGACGAACAGCTTCGTCCAGGTGGTGTCCTTTTGTCCCGGGAGTGCACTGAGGGCCAAGAGACCCTCAGGCTCGGCCGGCAAAGCGCCCGCCATCAACATTCCTTGCACCGCCTCCGTCGCGCCGGCTAACACTCCAAACACTGTCACTGGCTGTCAGTCCGGTGTACCGGTGCGTAGGTTATGTGCTTGTAAACACTGGAGAGCGGTCGGAGCGAGTGATCGTCGTGATGGTTGCGCGCGGACTGAAACGGCTTGGTGGCAGCCAGCGCACGTGGCGGCCCGATACTAATTTTAGCCCCCTCCGCACCCCCCTCGTCACCAGATGCGACGACGGCCCCGGCCACATGCGTGGCGTGCCCTACTGCTACCCTCCACTCACGTCGGCCTAATGATATACCTCGTTATCACTGTTGATCCTCACCAGCGAAGCCTATAAAAACTACTTAATGATACAATTAGCATTATTCTGCCTCTTGTAACTTTTAAATAGGTCTCATCCACCTCTCTCTTTTGGAGTCAGAGAAATATTATCAGATAAAATTTTAGAAAAAAAAATTAATTAACAGCTGAACGGATCACAATGCTTTGTTCTGCCAAATAATATATGGAGATTATTGTGACTTAAAATTTAGTAATGAGTTGGTTTTTTTAACGATTTCTTAATGAAAAGTTAAAGTAAAATAAAAAAAACACGCATAAGTTTAGATTTTCGGCGATTTTCATGTCAGCGACTTTCAGTATCATAAAATTGGCACGCCGAACTAGATGTCGCTCATTACCAGAAATGTTGTTCCTACAGTGTATCATGTATCACTTTCATAATGCAGTATAAATTTATGTGTATCCACGTGTTATATCAGTTTCTATAGCAAAAAAGTAATTGTCAAAAGTCTTGAAAATCGATTGATTATGAAAATTCCATAGTTTTGTAGAAACATGAGTTTACTTGAGTTTATGAGTGAGTAACATGAACTGGAAAGGCTGCAAAAGACAAAGCTTCTGTAAATAATAATAAATAAAAATTAGACAACTCGCATACATTGTTAAGATTCCGAGATCTAAAGTAGCTAAAGTCCCCGTATTTGGAGTATTGAACCTTATTTAAAAATTAAATTAACACAAAGATAAAAGGCATAAACAAGCTCAGAAAAACAAGACCATATTAACTTCAATGTTTATTTTAATTCAATTCTTTAATTACTATGGTTTATGTATAAGATTACGATTAAAGACAAAAAATACTAGAAATATAATACATTAATTATATGATTATTTACAACAATCTTTATACTTCGATTAAAAAAACCTCAAAATTATTATTAAGTATTTAAAAAATCTTATGTATTTAATTGTTAAGCAATTCAACTAGACCTAAGCAGTGTTTTTCTCATATTTTCAAATTAAAAGGCACAAGGTCAAAAACACTGTATCAATTTTTATAATTGTTCTTTGCTTCCAATGGTTCCAGTCTGTTGCATTTGCGCACCATAAAATTAATACCAATATGTTTCTAGATTAGCATTATCACTACTCTATTGGTGTCAAAAGAATGGGCCAATGACGCGCCATGCGAGCCTTGTGTGAATTGGTGGATATAAATGACTGCAGATGCAGCTAGGATCAACGAGTTAGTGTACCTTCCGAAGCACGGAGGAGTTCGATACAATAAATTTTTGGTTTGCAAAAAACAAAAAAACACAACCGTGTCGCAGATCGATCGCGCTAGCCACTAGATTAGAATAAAAGCGTATACTTAATAAAAGACAAATATTTCAATTCAGAAGGATAACCCGAGTATTTTATTTACACGTCTATGACATTCCGTTTTATTTTTAATGAATTGTGCATTATAAGGAAGGGCACTCGCCTGAATAGTAAAAAGTCACTGATCCGATACCAGCCCAACACAATTATATTCCATGTACTATCCTAAGACATGAAAAGAACAAGAAATCGTTCTATTTGTTATTGTTATTTAAATACTTTTATGTCGAACATTGTAGGTCCGTGTTGTCGCCACTGACCTCAGCAGAATACCAGTGCAATGGGTGTACCCATAGCTTACGCTGAGCTGAGGTCAGTTTTGACAGTACACAACATTACACTTTAAATTCTTGTATTGTTTTGTAATTGTTAATTGTCTTGTTTGTTTTATACTGGGTTGTGTTGTGGGTTGGCAAAATAAATACTTTATTATTATTATTAAAAACAACAAAATTAGACAAAAATCAAATATTGAATTTAACATTGCAAACTTTTTACAGAGCCGACTTTATTATTTTTTATTGCTTAAAAATATTATCGAAATAGTATTAGTCACAGAACAGAAAAAAGAGGCTTTAAGAGTTTCGTTTTATATAAAAAAAAACTAAGTGTTTTCCCGCGACATCGACGTATAAAATAAGAAGAAAGAATGAAAGAAAGAAAATATATTGATTGACCACATAGGTACATAACAATGGTTTAACTTATTACAAAGGTGGTGGTCAATCAGGACTCTGCCTCAGCATAAGCCATATCAGAGTAGCTTACCCTGATACGGCGCTGGTTATTCTGGCAGAGCCTGTACAAAAGCTTGGCGTTATAGATATATATACATAAATTATGGTATATACTAAATGAAAATCTTTATATAAATATATATATTTACTTATACCTACTAATAAACTAAAATAAATAGTAATTACTGATGTGTAAAAGAAATTGTAATGGTGCGAACATATTTAGTTTACCTTGCATTGGCTGTATTAGCCAATTCCTGTGACAGGACATAAAAAAGAAGTTTTAAAATCGGTCCAGCAGCTTCAGAGCCGGCCCGTCCATATAGGCAAACTAGACAACTGCCTAGGGCGCTCGTATCTGGGAACAGCTATGCTATGGCGTTTCCCAAACGTTAACAGATTACGTTTCCTCTAATTATTTGAACCTTAAAACTGCAATACCTTAAAAATACCTTTGTTATTTAAACAAGAGTCCATGTCCGCAGTATTCAAAATTTTATAATTTTTAATCGATGTTCATTAGTCTTTTATTTTGTATGGGCGTCGTTCCAATGTTTTTCCTAGGTCACCAAATTCCAATGTTATGCCTAGAGCGCAAAGTTCCAGTTTTAGACCTAGGGCGCCAATTTCCGGGTTTTTCCTTGGGCGCCAAGTTCCAATTTTAGGCCTAGGGCACCAATTTCCGGGTTTTGCCTAGGGCGCCAAGTTCCTTTTATATGTCTAGAGCGCCAAGTTCCGGAGTTTTGCCTAGGATACTAAGTTCCAGTGTTTTTGTCTAGGGCGTCAAGTTTCAGTGTTTTGTCTAAACCCATACCATACAAACAAACCCTGTCTCTATAAAGTGTAAAAATTGTGTTATCGCAGTTAATTCTCGCATAAAAGGTACATAAAAGGTATATAAATATTAAAATATATAAAATACACAAAAATGTTACATTCCGCTGCCTCTACTGAGCATTAGATGACACTACAAACTTTTAAAACCGAGATTTTGTTTTTTGTTATGTTTGTAGTCAATATTATTTCCGATTTTTATTAAATAAAGTAGCTTTCGTTTTCAATTTTGCAGTTTTTCCAATAACATAATTAATTGGTGTATTATTAATAGCGCGAAAAAATAAAATGTTACATTTGGCTATCTCTACTGAACAAAGATGACGCTACTGTACTTTTAAAACGAGGTTTTGTTTTTTATTATTTTTGTCGACTTTACTTTTTTCGATTTTCTCTAACGAAGCAGTTTTCGTTTAAAATTTTATGGTATTTCCAATAATTTAATGGGAAATTGTGAATCTGGCAAAATAATAAAATACAACTCGCTAAATGACGATACTGTATTTTTAAAACTTGTGTTTGTTTGTATAACTTAGAACTGTAGGAAAAAAATGTTATTTTAAGACAAGATTTCCAAATAAATAACTTTTCCAATTAAATAACTAATAAATGATTGGAACCGACTATTTTAAAAGAAACTCTTGTATGATGGCAATAAAGATATTAAATAATAATATACCGGATAAACTCAAATTATTGCCGCAAAAATTATATAAATCACGTTTGAAAACATGGTTAGTTGATAAATGTTTATATTCAGTAAATAAGTTTTGAAATAAAATTGAACTGGAACATTTTAATTGGAGACATTTTAATAATATTTGGTTTATGTATAAAAAAATATTATAATTTCCAAACTAATATTTTTCTTTGCTCACGTTCATAAGTCAAAAGTAAAATAATTGTAAAAACTACAGAGTTATTGATTCTTTAAGTCTACTAAAGTAGTTGAACATTAATTTATTTTTTGTGCTTAAATAGTTTGGAATATTGTAAATAACTTTTTTGATGAATGAATGTGTTTTATTTGAAAAATAATTAGCCTAAAAAACCGGCCAAGAGCGAGTCAACTCGTGCACGAAGGGTCCCGCATCGAAAACGAACAAAAAATCAGGTTTGTTGTATGGGAGCCCCCTTAAATATTTGTTTTATTCTGTTTTTTTTTAGTATTTGTTATTATATCGGCAACAACTACGTCTTCTGTGAAAATCTCAACTGTCTAGCCATCACGGTTCGTGAAATGCAGCAGTATGGTGGTAATAGCCAATAATCACTTTTGTGTATGAGAGAACCCTTAAATATTTATTTTATTCTATTAAAATTCAACTGTCTAATTTTCAAGATTTATGTGATACAGCCTGATGACGGACAGTCAGACTGCGAAGTCTTAGTAAAAGGATTGTCGTTTTACTCTTTGGGTAGGGAACCCTAAAAATGAAAGAAGCTGCCAAAAGTCACTATTTCACACGGACGAAGTCGCGGGCACTGCTAGTATTTGTATTAAAAGATATCTTTGGGATAGCAGAGACAATCAAGCTCTTTAAACGCAGTCTCTACATAGTTTTTCGTTTCTGTGACAAGTGATGATAGCATTATAATAAATGTGACTTTCTTACAGCGTAATTAATCAATTACATCTCATATTCATCGATTGCTATTGCGGCCATCAGAGGAAGTGATGGGTTCCACACGCTCAGAACAATACAATAGCGTTCCCACCATGCGCAAGCGCACTCAAGCTTCCTGTACGATATTTGAGACGTA